CATGGCACCGGATGTTTCTAATCCCGAGTTATGCAGATAGCTAACACTGGAAATTCAAAACCGAACGAGACCGTTAAAGCGGTGCTATATTGTACAGAAAGATTACTCACTGGTACTTTCATCCAGATGTGGAGATCTGAAGTCATAATTTTTACCCTCTTGGTACCAATTCTTAACAGCTCGCCCACAGGCTTGATCGGGGTCACCACCATACATGTAAAACAGGTTTTCTCCATCAGACGTTCTGGAGTCATGCTGAAGCTGATCTATTGCTGCAAGGTGATTGGCCCATTTCTGTGCGTTTACAGCAATGTCTGCTGACCAGGAAAGAGCTGGAACTCCATGACGGGCTCGAACTTCGTTGTGAGCGTCCAGGCAGTCCCGTATGTAAGAACTCTGGAAAGAAAAGACTAGAAACAAAAACCAACCAAAGGAAAGAAACAATTAGCAGCAAGAACTAGAGGGAAACAAACTTTACCTTTGCAACGCAGGTGAAAAGTTGTCAAAATTAAGCATGACAATCTCTTGTAAGTGCTTATCTTGTCATGTAATCCGCAGAGCACATCACTATGTCGCTCTTTGGACACATTATAAAGCACATCATTTGCAATCTTCAATTTAGCATGCAATTTAAATTGACTTCGTGAACGGCTGTCTGTTATGTATCCACTACAAAGAAGCTGACAGTCAGGTTCAATTAGACATGGGTCGCTTAAACCATCTGTAACACTCTAATTATATTTTCCAGTTGAAACTATTTAGGGGCAGTGCTCATTAAAACTGGCTTACTTTTAGTTAAACGGATAAGATTATCGTTATCATGGTAGATCTCCAATTTAACGGCTCAAACTACATCGGTGGTGTGTTTAAACATGTTAAGAGCAAAACGTTTCGTTTTCAAATCAAAGAATGTCCAGTTATATCGGTCATTTTTTACGACGAAAATTGACAGCCATTGGGCGGCGGTGTTATTGTCTATATCCACCACATTTTGTTTGTTAATAACATTGTTTTAAATGAATACGCGAACTAGGTTTGTTTTCAGTACTCTAACTGGCAGGTCATACAAAATCTTTACACCAATCTAATTCGTCCACACCACGTTTAATAAACATGGCGTGTATTTAGCAAAGCTCCCGTTGAAGTTGGAGTACCTACCTTTAGTTGCACACAATAAAACGCTCACAAGAAATTCTATCTTCATCTCTGATCTAAATGAGAAAACCCCATTGGTAAAGGAACGAAGAAAGGGAAACATTCATTATTGATAGGTGGAACACAAACTCCGTGACAATACCTGCCACATTTGATTGTATGTTCAGGTATTCTATTGTATAGAAACTAATGGAAAAAAGGAGCGTTTTAAGCGCAATCAAAGCCTGCGGAAAGGTCAGACAATCGGAGCATGCTATATAACGCAATGTTTTGGAATGATATACCTTGACACACCTCCCATGTGATTTGATATGTTTAACTTTTTGAATTAGCTTCTTCGTTCCTTTCG